AAATATCTTGCAACGCCAGCTACAACAGTGCCATGAGAACACTTGTTCTCGCTTTTTCAGGTGACATTTTTAAACAAGAAGCGGGCAGCATTACCTTCTGCAAATGTAACAAAGTGTTTGAGCGATTGGAAGTAGGACTGAGTGGACTTGCAGGCTCTAAAATTTTACTATTGTTTTATTTTTGTAATGCAGTTATTTTGGACATAATTCTACATTTGTAAGTTCAACTTTCATGATAAAGAGATTGCACTACAGTACTTGTATCAGAGGGGTAGCCGTGTTAGTCTGGATCTGTAAGAAGCGACAGAGTCTTGTGGCACCTTATAGACTAATAGATGTATTGGAGAATAAGCTTTCATGGGTGAATACCCACTTCGTCAGACGCATGTAATGGAAATTTCCAGAGGCAGGTATAAATATGCAGGCAAGAATCAGGCCAGAGATAACGAGGTTAGTTAAATCAGGGAGGATGAGGCCCTCTTCTAAGCATCATCAGTGATCTACAACCCATCCTGGACAACGATCCCTCGCTTTCACAGGCCTTGGGAGGCAGGCCAGTCCTCACCTACAGACAACCCGCCAACCTTAAGCATATTCTCACCAGCAACCACACACCGCACCATAGTAACTCTAATTCAGGAACCAATCTATGCAACAAACCTCGATGCCAACTCTGCCCACATATTTACATCAGCGACACCATCATAGGACCTAACCAGATCAGCCACAACCTCGCTGGTTCATTCACCTGCACATCCACCAATGTAATATATGCCAGCAATGCCCCTTTGCTATGTACATCGGCCAAACTGGACAATCCCTCCGTAAAAGGATAAATGGACACAAGTCAGATACCCCTCTACCTCGATATAACGCTGTCCTCGGATGCCAAAAAATCTTACCGTGTTATAGGTGAAACCGCATTATATTGAACTTGCTTTGATCCACCGGAGTGCGCAGCCCCTCCCCCCCCGGAGCACTGCTTTATCGTGTTATATCCGAATTCATGTAATATCGGGTCACGTTATATCGAGGTAGCAGTGTATTAGGAATGACAATATACAAAAACCTGCAGGAGAACACTTCAGCCTCCCTGGACACACAATAGCAGATTTAAAGGTAGCCATCCTGCAGCAAAAAAACTTCAGGACCAGACTTCAAAGAGAAACTGCTGAATTCAGTTCATTTGCAAATTTGACACCATCAGCTCAGGATTAAACAAAGACTGTAAATGGCTAGCCAACTACAAAAGCAGTTTCCCCTCCGTTGGTGTTCACACTTCAACTGCTAGAAGAGGGCTTCATCCTCCCTGATTGAACTAACCTCGTTATCTCTAGACTAATTCTTGCCTGCAAATTTATACCTGCCTCTGGAAATTTCCACTACATGCGTCTGACGAAGTGGGTATTTACCCACGAAAGCTTATGCTCCAATACGTCTGTTAGTCTATAAGGTGCCACAGGACTCTTTGTCATTCACTACAGTACTTGTATTAGGTGAATTGAAAAATACTATTTTTGTTTTTGTTTTTTTTGTAGTGCAAATGCTTGTAATCAAAAATAAATATAAAGTGAGCACGGTATACTTTGTATTCTGTGTTGTAATTGAAATCAATATATTTGAAAATGTAGAAGACATCCAAAAATATTTAAATAAATGGTATTCTATTATTAACAGTGCAATTAATTGCAATTAATTTTTTTAATCACTTGACAGCCCTACTAATAAATATAGTTCATTGTATGGGGAATTTGGGGACCAGTCCTATATCTACTGAAGCCAGTGGAAGTTTTGCCACTGACCTCAGTGGAAACAGGATCATGCCCTTAAGGCTAGATTGTGGCTTTTCAGCTACTGGTCTCAGTAGGTGTCTGTGTGGAACAGGGGTCGGCAACGTTCGGCACGCGGCTCGCCAGGGTAAGCACCCTGGCGGGCCGGGCCAGTGTTATTTACCTGCTGACGCGGCAGGTTCGGCCGATCGCGGCCCCCACTGGCGCGGTTCGCTGTCCCGGGCCAATGGGGGCGGCGAGAAGTGGCGCGGGCGAGCGATGTGCTGGCCGCGGCTTCTCGCCGCTCCCATTGGCCCGGGATGGCGAACTGCAGCCAGTGGGGGCCGCGATCGGCCGAACCTGCCACGTCAGCAGGTAAATAACACTGGCCCGGCCGCCAGGGTGCTTACCCTGGCGAGCCGCGTGCCGAACGTTGCCGACCCCTGGCGTGGAATAAGCAATCTGGAGAGCTCAGAGGTGGTTGTTGTAAGTTGCCCCAGCACAGCCATACAAGGAGAAGAAGCTTCTTGCTCACAATTTGGGCCTTACAATGTGGATTACTGAAGTCAAAATAGATCCAGTAAGTCTCACGGTGGATGAAGAAGTGATAAGTCAGGGAAGTAGGCAATATGAAGTTGTGAGATCTAGAATGTACAGGTTTTATCAAGAGGGCTGCTTTAAGTTACTGTTCATGAAACCAGAGGGATATATGGGGATGAGGGGGAGGGGAGAGAGGTTGGGGGATGAGGTGAGGGAGGCATGGCACACTCCAGCTCTGCTACTGCACCCCAGTCCTCATGCATCCACAGCTCTGCCAATGTACCCCAACCTTTTCCCCCCTCAGCTTAGCCAGTGTACCCCAACCCTGGACCCACACCTCTGCAGGTTCATCCCAATCCCCTGCACCCCACAACTCTGTAGGTGCACCCCAAATCCCTTCACCTATAGCTGACAGTGCACCCCAATCTTCCTGCACTTTACAGCTCTTCCAGTGC